CTCGAGGGGAAATTGAAAGTGATAGAGGATGTGCATTCCGCGGAGGTGTCTCGGTTCGAGGTTAGGATCAGCGACTTGGAGCGTGATCTCGGAAAGACTGCGATCTCTCTGCTCAAGGGGAAGGATGCAAAGAAGTCCAAGGCTTCGGAGCTGCGCAGACTTCAGCGCAAGATGAAGTGTTTTGAGGGATCAGCGGTCCGTGTGACCGTAGGGGATGTTCCTGTCGAGGGAAGTGACTCCGACCCGACTCTTGCTGCCGAAAGCGCCCTTCAGCCTGATGCAGATGAGAGCAACGACCCGGAGATTGATGACGAAGGTGAAGGTGTTGTTGTGAGAATTGGTGATGCGATGGATGAGGATGAGGCTCCGAGTGCGGAGGATATCTGAAGTTGTAGTCTCGTATAAGACTTAAGAATTAGATTTTTATGTGTTTGGCCGAAAATGGATTTTGTACTTGTTTGGGACTGGTTTTTTACGGCTTTGAATCCCTTGTTGCTACGGCAACTTTAATGAACAATCAGTTTTTCGTTTAAACCTATGGCTTCGAGTTGATATTGAGGGAGGTCCACGAGTTGTCGTCGCACATTCCTTTTCCTTAGTGTATCGCCTTATTCGTTTGCTCGTTTCAGGATGTTTAGTAAATCGAGTGAGCGTTTAGATATACACGAAGAGACATGCCTTTAGGATCAGCCGTCCCGTCGTAAGTCGGCACCTTGAGCTTTTCTGGATCGGCTAGCTTGACCTCGGTGATGCAGGCCGTAAAAGGCGTTTTCCGAGATTCGTATAGCAGCCGATCAATTTCAGGCGCGGCGCTGGTAGCGTGGTGAATTTGAGACTTCACCGCTTTCACCGCTGCGGCCGTTTTAGTAATTTACTCGCGGAGATTGCGGAACTCAGTTAAGTCGCCAGCAGTTTTCCGACCTCGTCGGCATTTTCTGTGAGTAACTGGAGATCGTTCCTCGGCCGTTTTTGCGTGTTGCGCAAAATAGAGCTCTTCCTCGTCTCCAGTAAGAGAACGCTCGGGAGAAGACTCCGGTAGAGGGCTGCGAGTTTTTCTTCTCCTAGGATGGACGTCCGCGTCCTTGTCTGACGAGTCAGGTTGGTCGCTAGTTTCCAGGTTAACTCTTTCGACGCCATCCTTCTCGGTCTCATGTCTGTGAGTAGGAGATTTGTCCGGTTCGTTCAGCGTCGTGTCAGGGTTATCTTTTTCGGAGTTTTTCTCCGTCTGATTTCCCTGCTCGGTTCTGGGGCGATCCATAGGAGTCGCGAAATGGAACCTTCTTTCGCGGATCTTAGTGGTTCCGCGGGGGCGAATCGCTCTGGTTTTCACAGTTAGGGTTTCGACCTGTTTTGCGAGCGAACCAATGAGCTTTTCTTGCTCTTCCGATTTTTTGTTAAAGTCGGAAAGCATCATTTCGCTGGTCTCGGCGTTAGCGTTTGTAGGGTTGGCCGCGAAATCATCTTGTGGTGGTGGTGTTTTATCAACGTTATCGCTTTCATCACGAGTTTGGTTGTCACCAGTCATCGTTTCTTGATTGAGCGTGCTGCGGCTTGAGTGTAAGATAGATCCAACCCCCCCCCTCCCCTCCTTCTAGCGCCAAACTGTGGGAACCAAAATTCACCTACTGTCAAGATATCGTAAATAAGGGAACTTTGAGTAAACCCTAAGTTCCCAAAGGACCCGGCTATCTGCCGAACCGCACAAGAACAATCAAGACAACGATGAATACGAAATAGAAGTATAAAAAAACGAGATTGAGAGCAGGAAGGATCTTATTCCGAATTTGCGTAAGAACGGTACAACAAGAGTAGCCTTAGCTGCTTGAGCCGTCGGCAAGATTCCTAACCCTAGCAATCTAAGACTAAAACCCTAGTTGAGACGCAGCTAGATAACAAAAACGGAAAGTTGCCTAAATGCTAAGTTTGGTGGTGAAAGCTCTGAAAACTCGTCCTCTGCTCCTGTCCTCTGCCTCTTGCTTATATACTCCCCTCCTAGGCGGTTTAGTCCTTCCATTTCGCCCAGATTCGAGTTTATTGAGAAGCTTCCATTTATCTCTATCTTTCCTTTCTCCCGCGGAAATCTTCTATTTATCCTCAAACTTAACATTTATCTTCAAATTTGACATTTATCTTCTTTCTGCGAGTAAATCGTCAAAACGTCGTCTTATCTTTGGGTTAGATTTCATTAAAGTCGCAAGATAGGGTTTTGTCGCGTTTTAGGACTTTTCGAGCCGTTTTGCGATAAAACTGTTTTACGACTTTATTCGAGATCGTTTCCTGACGCGAAGCCTGTTTTTAAATAATTTTCTCGGGTTAATCGCAAAGTTTGGCAATGTTCGATGTTTCGGTTAACCGTTGCCGTTTTATAAGATTTACTTGAGGTTTTATTAAAACGCGTTTTTTACGATTTCTCATGAAAAAATCTCGAGTAAATCGTATAGTTTAGGCAATGTTCAGTGTTTTGTTTAATTGTTGCCGTTTTATACGATTTCCGTGAGTTCTTTCGAGAAAACAAGACTTTAAGGTTTTTATCGTAAAACTGGAAAGATAGGACGAATCGAGACGAAACAAGAGACATTTCGACCGTGGTTTGGAACATGATCGTGTCGAAGGACGTAAGCCTTGAATCGAGGACGTGGGAGATCGAGGCTCGGGATGATCAGATCAACGTACGACGAGCCAAACCGGACCGGTTCGGCTCGCCGTACGGCGAGCTATCCAAGGAACGACTAGCTCGCCGTAAGGCGAGCTATCCGTAATGTGACTAGCTTACGGCGAGCTAGTTCGGCCGAACCAGCTCGTGGTTTACGGTGGATGCGGTTTTTCGCGGTTTTGTGCTTAACTCGGGCGATCGTGTAATCAGCGTTTGTTTCATTTTTCCGAGACAACGATTTCCAAGTTTTCTGCAGATTTCCTTTGTTTGGAAACTTCCTTAACTTTATAAAACGATTTCTCAAGTTTTATAAAACGACTTCTGGAGTTTTATAAAACGACTTATCGAGTTTTATAAAACCATTTCTCGAGTTTTATAAAACGACTTATCGAGTTTTATAAAATGACTTTTCGAGTTTTATAAAATAACTTATTGAGTTTTATAAAACGTATTTTTATTTTTTGCGGAAATTTTTGGCTATTGATTCCGTCGTACTGATTTTGACCCCAACACAGATTTGTTGAATGGAGTTGTCAAGGTTTCTCTGCCCGCAGGAACCGAATGTTGCAAACTTCTTACAGGTATTGTGGACGCAAATGCAGCCGTTTGTCTTTGTACCGCGGTTAAAGCTAATATCGGAGGCCTTCTTCCTCTTTGAACATTCCCCTAGCTGTCCGCCTTACACTCAATGCTTGTGGAGTTCCATCGGGTAATGCATGCTTCTAAAACAATATATTTTATATACTTCTTGAAAACTTTTATGTGTGTTTTGCTTTCAAGAAAATGAGTTTATATATGAGAATTCGACCAAAAAAACACGAACTTTGCACTAATTGCCAAAAGAAATCTATACTCGAGCCTGGCCAAAAGAAACTATATTTTTGTTGACTTTGTTAGTTTATTAAGAAATTTACGATTGACTCACCATTTTGACACAACGTTAATGAGCCGTTAAGACTGTATTAACTCGACGTTAAATATAGACGTTAAATGAAACGACATCGTTTTCAAATGAGATGAAACGACGTCGTTTTAGGTGATTTGAAAATAAAAATAAGTAGACCATTGGATTCAAACTTGGGTTGATTGGATCGAACGGTAAGGTATTTTACCACTAGGCTAGTGACACTTTCATTATATTTAAAAACACATTTGTTTTTATTGGTACTGATTGAATATAAAAAATTCTCTAAAATCTTAAAAATCTTTAAAATTTCAAAAAATTGAAAAAATAAAGAATTTTTTTAGAAAATTAATTTTGAAACTAAAATTAAAAATAAAATTTTATTTTTTCTTTAAAAAATCAATTTTTTAAAAAAAAATCCAAATAAAAAGAAAAAATTAAAGTTACATGTATCAGCTAAATATTAAAATTGCACTCGTAATGGGTACATAATTTATTTTAAGCATTTTAATTTAATTTTAATATGTGGGTATCTTTTTATGTGTGTATAATTAATTTCAATTTTTTACCAATTTTTTTTTAAAATTAAAATTTTGGAAGATTTTGATTTTTATTAAGAAAAAATAAAATCGTATTTGTTTTGATTGGATCAAATGACAAGGTATTTTATCACTAGGATAGAGGCACTTTCAATATATTTACTAACACATTTACTTTTATTTATACTGATTGAATATAAAAAATTCGCTACCAACTTAAAAAATATTTAAAATCTCAAAAAATTGAAAAAAATAAAGAATTTCTTTATAAAATTAATTTGTAAATTAAAATTTAAAAGAATATTTTTTCTTTAAAAAATAAAAAATCTTCAATATTTTCAATTTTTGTAATTTTTTTTTTAAATTCCAAAAAAATAAAAATTCAAAGAAAAAGCAACTTATTAAAGTTACATGTATCAGCTAAGAATTAAAATTACACTCATAATGGGTACAATATTTATTTTAAGCTTTTTGATTTAAATTTAATGTGTGTATCTTTTTATGTGTGTATAATTAATTTCAATTTTTTTACCAATTTTTTTTTTAAAAAATTAAAATTTTGGAAGTTTTTTTTATTTTTATTAAGAAAAATAAAATTTTCTTTTAATTTTAATTTAAAATTAATTTTCATAGAAAGTTTCTTTATTTTCAGTTTTTTTTTTGAAAACTTAAATATTTTTTTGAAGTTTTTAGATATTTTTTTTATATTCAATCAGTATCATATAAAATTATCTGTGTTAGTAAATACATTAAAAGTGCCAATGACCTAGTGGTAAAGTACTTTGCCATTAATTCAATAAACTTGAGTTCAAATACATAGGTCTACTTGTTTTTATTTTCAAATCACGTAAAACGACGTCATTTCACCTAACGCCAACAATAAATGATATCAGATTTTTCTGTTAAATTTAGTGATGGCGTGCTAAATAGGCAAGTCAACGAAAACATTCTTAATTAATTCTAAGATCAATGAAAAGTTTATGTTTTTTCCGGCCAGCATAAAAGTTCCAATTTTTTTGGCAATTCGTGTAAAGTTCGTGCTTTTATGGCCGAATTCCCGTTTATATATGTTGTTTGTTTGTTTTTTTCTTTTAAGTTGTCCCACATAAGGTCTTTATAGTGACCATTGATTTAGTTTGCAAAAGTTGTAGTCACGTACTTCTTTGTCGTACTTTATTAACTAATAAAACACACACACACACACTTTATGTTTATTTTTTCCGATTCTGTAACCATTTCAATAACCGTATTGCTATTGCTGATGAGAAAGAGAATATGTATAATATGGAAACTGCTGGAGAGGACTGCACAATTTAACAATAACCTGTAATTAGCCTATTCGACAACCCGGAAAGCCCATAAAACTTGGCCCTAGCAACATATGTGTCGACCAAAAATAAAAATAAAAACATTCAATAAAAAAAAATGGTTTAAATCACCAACTTTCAAATTTGATTAAAAAAAAATATGAAAAATAAAAAAAAAACACCCAACTCTTGTTGACAAACCATTTTAATCAAAAACTTTTGTTGACCATACAGTTTTAGTCCTAACTTTAGTGCACAATAATAGCTGACTAACAATATGGCTAAAATTACTCTTACAATTGATGGTTTTTTTACACAAATATAAATTAACACTTTATATAAATATTGGATTTAAAAAGTGAAAATATATATTTCTAATATCTATACCATTAGTAAACCAAATTATAAATAAGAAATAATTCAAAACAAATATCAAAGTTTTTCATTTTCTTAAGGTATAATTTTCATTTATATTATAAAATAATTATTTAGCATATCATTAACCGTGTATTTAGTTATAAACTGATTAAGAATACCTTTTATAATTATTTACCATCAAATTTCATAACTATTTATATAATCATATTTGGATTATGTTTTATAATTTTACTATCAAAAGTTGGTAATAAAATGTTAATTTAGCTTTGGATTTTCGGTCTAAAAGAGTTATTGGTTGATGGATTCTTCATGATTTATTTATGTTTATACTAAATATATTACCAAAAAATTTATATAATTTCTATAAATGTGTTACAAGATTATTTTTTCATTTAATGAAAATAAGTTTCACTGAAAATTGTTACGATAAAAAATGTTGCTACATCAATGGAATCATGAAGAATGCATCTACCATTAGTTTTATTCTCTTGAGAATAAAAATTATATTAATATTATAAAATACAAAATTTGGACAGTAAAATTATGAAACATAATATAATTAAAATTATATTTACAATTATAAAAGGAAATAATTATAAAATTTATTGATAATCATTTAATAAAAAGTTACTAAACTAATGATATATTAACCAACTATTTTAGCATATAAATGAAAATTTTAGAAATTTTAATTTGAAAATAATGAAAAAATTATATTTTATTTGTTCAATATTCATATTTATATACGATATAAAATTTTAAAAGTCAACATAAATTTCCTAAAAATACTGTTTTATATTTGCACCAAATAATCATCAATTTTAAAAGTCATTTTAGGTATACTGTTAGTCAACTATAACTGTTGACTAATGTGGGAACCGAAATTCACACCGTCGATTTCCGTTTAAATTATGAAACAAGGAAAACCCTAATTTTCCAGAGGTCCTGGATATCTGCTAATACACACGTCAAGCAATCAGAGTACGAGAATAAAGACGAGAAAAATATAAGGAATCAAAAAGAGAGCAAAAGGTGTCTTATTCCGAATTTACGTAAAAGCTTTTACAACAATGTAGGAGCTCTGGCTACAAGAACTGTCGGCGAGATCCCTACTTCTAATAACCTAAGACTGCAAAACTTAGTTGATTCGCAAATTGAATAACAAATACGAAAAGTTGCCTAAATACTTTAAGTGCTAAGTTTGCTCTGAAAAAGTTCCCTTTGTGCCTCTCGCATAGGACTCCTTATGTAATCCCTCCAAGGTGGGTGTATGCTTTCCCCATCTACCCTTAAGCCGTCATAGCTCAAAGATGGAGATATTCCATTTTTCCCGATCTTAGTGATTATCTGCGGAAACTTAACATTTATTTGTGGAAATTTGACATTTATCTTTTCTTGTGGACTATAAACCTCCATAGTATTTATGGTCTCTTTCTTAAAAAATTGTAAGTGGACTTCTAATCGCGTTTTAGGACTTTCAGGGCTGTCTTTCGACTCGAAACGTTTATTACGGTTTTTTTTGATAAAAACAAAGTTTTTCGCAGTTTTTGTCGTAAAGTCTGAATGATAACTCTGATCAATAAAGAGTCAGAGGTGGTTCAGCCATGGCCTGCGTGAGATAGTATTAAAGAGTAGACGAGAATGCACGTATTCATGTCGTACTGATTTTTATCGTTTGATCGATGTTCGAGACAGTCCGGTCACTGCATCGCGACTTGGCTCGGGATCGGAATGGTCGCTACGTTGCGACCCGACCTGAACAGGATTACGTAGCGACCTGGTCCGTGGCCAGACCGGTCGCTATGTGGCGATCTGGTTCTGGTTTGAGACCGGTCGCTACATAGCGACCTGGTCCGCCATTGACTGGTTGCCATGTAGAGACCTTGTCTAGCTCGGGACCGGTCGCTACATAGAAAACTGGTCCGTCCGTGGACCGGTCGCTACATAGCTACCCGGTCTGGCTCGGGACTGGTCGCTATGTAACGACCTGGTCCAGGGCTGCACCGGTCGCTACGTAGCGGCCCGATATGGCTCGGGACTGGTCGCTATGTAACAATCTGGTCTGTGGCTGGTTTGGTCTATGCATTGACCGGTTTGGATACTTGTCCGATGTTCTTGGAAAACCGGTGTTTAGCTTTGGTGGCTCTATTGAGGTTTTTTATGAATTTTGTCGAAAAATATTTTCGCAAAGGTTTCTTTATGAAAATTACATTTCCCAGAAGTGTACTTATTTATCTTGAAGGATATTTAGGTGTTAATTCCATCGTGACTGTTTTTTACCCTAACAACTAACAATAAGATTAAAATGATAAAGTGTACGAAATTGTATTATTAAAAGGGACATTTGCTAAAAACAACCTAAAATTTCAAATCAAATGCAAAAGTGTACCCCAATTTCAATCAAATCTAAAACCAACCTAAATGGGTAGAGAAATGTCTATTTACTCCTTATGACTAAACAAAAACAGAATGCTATTTTACAATTTTATCCTTATGAATTTTACATTTAGTAGAGAGAAGTCTACAAGGTATAGTCTTATCATGAAGTCTACAAGGTGTAGACTTATTTATGAAGTCAATATTAT